TAAATTGAGCCCATAAAATGATTTTAGCACTAAAAGAGAGACATAATTTATGAAAAAAGGTCCGAACAATATCCAAAATATTTTTGCAACCTAATCCCTCTTCATTTAAAACCCCACACATTTTATTCCAAGAAGCCCAATATATGCAAGAACTATTATTCTTAGAACCTAAAAAAAAACTTATGAATCAATCTCTCCAATCTAAGATAAATAGAAGAAGTAGGGTGAAGAGTATGAAAAATAAAAATAGGAATCGAGTTTAAAACATTTTTAATAAGCATGAGTCTACCACCAAAAGAGAGGAAATTAGAGGTCCAGTTAGAAATCTTCCTTTGAAAAAATGTGAAAACATCCTAAAAAATTTGAAATCTTTTTCTACCTTTTAAAATAGGGGTAACCAAATACTTAATAGGCAAAGAAGAGCAATTAAAGCCACAAATCCTTTTGATATCATTTATCCTCAAAAATTTGAAACATTCAGAATCAGTCATTTTCAATTACAAAGAGTAGCCATTAAATACAATGCCTATTTACGTAAGGTTGTATATTGTAACCTAGAAATGTTAGTTTTGTGTGGAATCTAATTATATCGATCAATTAAGTTATATTTATGTCTCGAACCTCAATTCCGTTGATCGTGCTCGCTTGGGGTCCTCCTCCTGCTTGTGATTAAGTCATTTGCACCTGAAATTTTCTTTCGTACAACTTTATAACAGAACAACCATCAAACAAATCTAATATAAAGTAAATCAATTTTATCCAACTTAATCAAACCTCTTAAGAGAAGAGGTAAATTAGCGCTCCCAAACTCCATATTAGCTTCAAGTTGACAGCCAAATTTGGCCACCCAGTCTACACAAGCATTACCTTACCGAAAAACATGATTAATAGTATAATTGAGATTAGAAAGAGCAAGTCTAATTCTTCTAATAAGATAGAAAAATTGTGGATTTCCCACATACTCATTCTTAATGATTTGAATTAACAGTAAAGTATCCACCTCAATTGCAACAATAGCAATACCTTTATTCTGGCAAATCTCCAGACCCCGAGATAAACCCATAAGCTCAGCAAAAATAACTTTACAAGGATGTAAGGGGCGCACATAAGTCACAATAACATCACCATAATTGTTATGAATAATACCATCCATACCCGCAGCAGAAATACCCATAGAACCATAAGTATTAAGTTTAAGAAAAGGAGGCAAAGGTTTTAACCACATGACAATCCTTTCAGAATTAACCAATGCTTCAAAAGTGAATGATATGCCAAATTTCGAAGCCAAATTCTCACAGTTCTTGAAATGCTTACCCGAGATGAGATTAGCCGAAAAAAGCTGTAATATTTTGTTATTCACATTAGCAATAATACTATTGGCATCCATTTTAATCTCATTGTGCTTAACATCATTACGAGCCTTCCAAATGAAACACATAATGAGGATGGGCAATAAATTATAAATATGACATTTAGAATTAGTCATCCAATCACCTAAAATAGACATAATATTACTAAAACGAGCAATAATAACTTTGTTAACACTAGCAACAAAATACCTCCAAACTTTCTTAGCAATGCTACCATAAACAAACACATGATTAATATTCTCAATATTAAAGCAGCATTGACATTTAGAAGGAAAACTAAAACCTTTATTCCTCAGTAAAGTGTCCACTGTAAGAAAACCTTTAATACATCTCCAATCAAGAATAGAGTAAGATAAGGGAATATTGTTGTGCCAAATAGATGCATAAATCAGAGAACTGTCATACTTAACTCTAAGCGAATCCCACGCATTTTTAAGTTTAAAAAAACTAGTCAAAGAACTATTAAATAAAATGCGATCATTTCCTTGTAATTGTAAAGCAATGCTCAAGATAAGATTCATAAACTCACAAGGGATAATCTCCCTAAGTTTATTAACATTTCAAATCCCATTATTAATGTAGTAATGAACCTTAGTATTATGCATAGTATGAGTATTGAGCATGCTATCAATAGAGCCATTACCTAACATATTATCTTACCAGAAGAAGATATCGTCTTTGCCTAACCCCAATGGATAAATTGCTTAGCTTCCCAACTAATGCTGCAAACCTTTTCCACACCAATGAATCAGATATTTTGTAATTACACAAGATAGGATGCACCTCTTTGCAATACTTAACATTCATAAATTGAGCCCATAAACTGATTTTAGCTCTAAAAGAGAACCATAATTTATGAAAAAAGGTCCGAACAATATCCAAAATATTTTTGCAACCTAATCTCCCTTCATTTAAAACCCCAAACATTTTATTCCAAGAAGCCCAATATATGCAAGAACTATAATTCTTAGAACCTCAAAAAAACTTATTAATCAATCTCTCCAATCTAAGATAAATAGAAGAATTAGGGTGAAGAGTATGAAAAATAAAAATAGGAATCTGAGTTTAAAACATTTTTAATAAGTACGAGTCTACCACCAAAAGAGAGGAAATTAGAGGTCTAGTTAGAAATCTTCCTTTGAAAAATGTGAAAACATCCTCAAAAATTTGAAATCTTTTTCTACCTTTAAAAATAGGGGTAACTAAATACTTTTTTTTTTTTTGGTTAAAACCCGCTCATGGGGCTTACGTGTTAATTTAAAACAACGGTTACAAAGTCCTTAAAAGGTTCCACCAGCTCTCTATTGCTCAAAAGAGCTACAATCCAAAAAGAAAATAAAAGTCCTACGAGCCGGCGGATCCTTACACTACGATTACAAAAAGAAATTAATAAAGTCGGGCTATTCAGCAATAGCACCCAAAAAAGGAGAATCCAAATAATCTTGAATGCTTTCAGCTCCGTTCTCCTGCCAAAAAATCTACTATAAAGAAAAATGACCAAACAAAGAGAAAAATAACGTACCTTTCTCCAAATTTTGCTCCACTTGTAATTAAGAGTACCTGCCAATAAACTTGAAGAACAAAATTAGATCAAGAATACCATATAACACCCAAAAAATCCACCGCCAAAAAAGAGAATACCCAAACCACACCACATCAACCATATAATGCCAACAGCTATGGCACAAGGATCTGAAAACAGCTTCGCGATGGGGTAACTAAATACTTAATAGGCAAAGAAGAGCAATTAAAGCCACAAATCCTTTTGATATCATTTATCCTAAAAAATTTGAAACATTCAAATAAAGCGTGACTGTGATCTTTACTACTCATCAGTCATTTTCAATTACAAAGAGTAGCCATTAAATACAATACCTATTTACGTAAGGTAGTATATTGTAAAATAGAAATGTTAGTTTTGTGTGGAATCTGATTATGTCGATCAATTAAGTTATATTTATGTCTCGAACCTCAATTCCGTTGGTCGAGCTCGCTTGGGGTCCTCCTCCTTCTTGGGATTAAGTCATTTGCACCTGAAATTTTTTTTTCGTACAACTTTATATTGTTGCGATGCTAAGACTCATGCAAGCGGCAGAGAGCAAAACACTGAGGTGCTATGACTTATGCAAGTGACAGAGAGAAAAACATTGTGGTGCTCCAGATGTCGATTTTGAGGCCTGGCCAAGTAGATTTGGAAACAGAGAGTGGAGTGTCGTGCACTTGAAACCTAACGTTGTGGTGTTGTGAGGTTGGTTGGGCAGTTTTCTTTTTCATTTTTCATGAAAGGTTGCGTCCCTTGGTAGTTTTAATGTTTTTCTCTTTGTTATTATAGTATGAGAATGATGAAAGAGTTAAGAGTGACAAGGTGAGAGTGAGAGAGAAGAGATATTTGTATTATTTCTCCCAAACTTTCATGGTAAATTTCTTAGAGTGGTGTGGCTCCATAGTTTTTTTTACCGATTTCGGGTTTTTCCACATTAATAAATCCAACTGTTCTTTCATTCGATTACAATTTTCTATTTCTTGTTTGTTTCACTGCATGGTTTACTTCCCCATGTGGACAAGTTCATTGCAACTATTTTATAAATTACGTTCATAACAACTAGATTCCCCAAGGAGTACAGCCCTACAACAAAACAAGTACATCCCCGAAACAAGTAAAGGCATTTCATTATTTGTTTTATCTTTTGAGCTAATTAAAGACAAACTCACACACACATCACATATGGAAGCGTTGAATCCAAGACTTTTGGGTTGGTAGCTAAAGCTTCCAACCAACAGATCAAGATATGAGCTGTATACTTAGCACTAGTCAGTGTGTGAAATGGGAGATTGTGATGAGAAATTATTGCGTGACCTCACCTAAAGCAATTGAGCTGTGTCAATAGGTTTTCAATCATTTTTATAAAAAAGAGTTGGAACAGTTACTTTTGAGGAATTAAAGTGCGGGAACAATTATAACTTAGGCATATATGATTTTTTTGTTAGGATAAATAATTATGGATTTTGAAATATTTTGATGAAAAATATGTATATATATATATATATACATGAACTATGAACGACCAAGCTAGCTTTATGTTAAATTTAATTTTTTCAAAGCCTTTAAACTAATTATCGTGCAAATAAGCAAAGTCGGCTAAAATTTGATTGAATAAGAAAACCTCATTCAAATTGAGTATGCAATTAAGCTCGTGGTTAAAAGAAAATTTATAATTCATGATAAGACACATGAGCAGCGATCGTGATCATGAATGTACTTCTTTTTGGGAATGTACTTGTTTTGCAGAGGGAATGTACATGGTCATAACAAGTAGAATCCATAGTAAGTACAAGCATTTTTTGGGACATTTAGGCCAATTAAGGCAGATTCACACACACATTGCATATACAAGACTCGAACCCAATACCTATTAGTTGGTAGCTTAAGCTCCCAACCAACATATCAAAATAAGTTGTGTAAGTACATGCATTTCTTTATTTATTTTCTCAATAGCATTTGCTAACTTCAAGAACATTCCATGTGGACAAGTTCATTACAACATCATTTAAGTAAGTTTGTCTATTTATGAAACTCATTGCTCACAAGAAATTCTTTCTTCATTTTTTTTTTTTTTTGGAAAATGACAGACATATTGCTATGGGGATGTGGCTACTCAGTATCCAATATATGAAGGCACTGATATTACTAATGGAATGGTAAATGGAACAAATAATTCTTTCTATCCATATCTCCAGTTCGTGAATGGGGAGACAAGCCATGGCGTACAATACCCACAGCTAATCCGCCACTCAGTCATTAGCTCGACAGCAGGAGTTACAGAATTTGCACTTGAGCAATATGGAATATCTACCCCATTGTCTTTCGCACCAAGCTTTACTCCACAAATTTCAGGCCAGTTTGTTCTCTTAAAATCGATTTGTTTCTCCTGCCTTCATTAATCAAGTAAATTAATAGTTCATTTTCATGTGGTTCACTACACATATCCTTCAACCCAAACTTAATGTATATAACAGTGTGTTTATCTTTTTACACAGGCATGGCATTTGCTCTCCCTCTGCCATCTCTACCAACTCCAACAGCGAAACACTACAAGCTAGTTGTCCCTACTCCATTCTCCACTGCAACGGTAGCAGCCAACAACCCTTGGCCTAACCATGGTTAAATCTTCATCTATTTTCTCTCCTTTCCCATCTCTTTCAGTATTTTCTTCTCTTTGTCCATCCTTCAGATGAAACCAATCATTTAAATTGGGAAGGACTTGAGGTTTTAGAGATTTTGATAGCTTAATGCTTCTCAACCCAACTTAATTGGGGTGCTAAATGTTCATCATGAACCAAGAGAAAGGGATTCTCTTGTAACAATCTTTAAGCTTTCTTTATGTAGCAAATGTACGACATTTATACATAGTGTGCACGTCTTTTGCATGCATGCTTGCAAGGACACTAAGGTTCTTCTATAGGGCAAGGGTTAGCCCTACCATTTGACCTAACTAACTTTAGCTTAGCTAGCTAGTGGAAGTGCTTGGTTGACCCCACATGACTTTATCAATTGTGGTAAGTCATTACCAATCCTTACATGACATTTTGGTCATCCTAACCTTACCTAGGGAAAGGTAAGAATGTTACTGTACAATCATTTTATTCATTTTAATTTTTTTGTTTTTGTCTTCCCCTTTGTTGTTTTGTATACATGCACCATGCATATGGCAGTTTTAGCTGCGTATGAGGATAGGTTTTCATAAGATCTTCCTTGCATGAGAGGACTCCTGGAATGGTAATCCAGGCGTTCTCCTATATATCATTTGGGAGAATTGGTTTTTCCCCATCATTAATGTAACCAGTGGGTTCCCTAGGGATATATTTTTGGTCCTTTTGGTCCAACGTTTACCATGGTTAGGCTCTCTCTCTCTCTCTCTCTCTCTCTCTCTCTCTCTCTCTCTCTCTCAATGTATTGGGTTATTTTGCAATAAAATGACCGTTGATGCTATTATGTGGACTTCTTAAGATATGGATTGTAATAACGTTACTATGGAAGCTATCTCATTAGACCAGTTAATGCTACTTTGTTTAGACGAGTTGATGATATTATTTCGACTTCTTAAGATATGGATTGTAATAACTATGCATACTATCTCATTAGACGAGTGCTTAATGCTACTTAGTTGAAATTTCATGCGAGAAGTTGCTTTTATTATATAATTAGTGCCACTCATGTTTCGTTTGGGACGGCTTTCTTATTACTTCTAAAAACAATTTTTTAGTATCAATATTTTTCTTTTTTACTAGAAAGTTGCTTTAAGAAGCAACAAAAAAAGATGTCCCAAATGAGACCTCGATTTCCAAAATTTTATGTTAAGCATTTTTTCTCTGAGTTCAGCTCATTATTGGCCATAGATATATGTACAAGAAAAATAATAATAATAAATAAATATACATAGATATATGTATGTATGCATGCATGCCAAAGTTAGTCCCTCCTAGAAGTCGCTCTTGCCCTAAAGCGCCGCCTCGTGCGATTTAGGGTTTCCTCGTTTCCTCTTCTCTCGGTGCTTGATCGGGCTTGGTCTAGTGCTTTTTCTGCTTGGATCTCAAAGTTTTTTCAGTTTTGTGGCTTCGTGGTCCTTCTTTGCCTTGTTGGGGCTTCTTGATGGCTGGGGTTCCGACTTCCAACCCTTGGGGGAAGGTGTCGGGCCCGATTCAGGGTCTTAGCAGAGGCTTTTTTTTCTTGGATGGTGATGGTGCTGCTGCATCACCTACTAGATCTTTCAAAGATGTGCTATCCGCAAACCCAATGGCAGGTGATAAGATTTATAACTTAACTCAATCGGTCTTTAATGGTGTTCCGGCTATTATTCTTTCTGATGAGAATGTGCTTAAACTGGCTTCTCCTTTTCAATTCAGGCTTGTTGGTAAGTTCGGTTTGCGCAAACCTAATCTAGACTCGATACAAAATTTTTTCGATAACCTAAAATTACCTGGGTTTTTTTTGGTTGGTTTAATGGATGCTTGACATGTTGCAATTCAAATATCTAACGATTTGGATTATAGTAGAGTTTTTTTGCGAGAAGAGCTTATTTTATCAATAATTGCCAAATGCGTGTTATGAAATGGACTCCGTTTTTTATGTTAAAGAGGAATCTCCGATAGTTCCGATTTGGATTTCATTTCCGAATTTATGTTTACATTTTTTTAACCCTAAAGTTCTGCATGCACTTGGATCTATATTTGGTGGTCCCTTGTAAGCTGACTAGGCAACGGCTTCGAGAACTCCTTCTGTGGCGAGGATTCTTGTTGAAGTTGATATTTCTAAAAAGCATGCTAATGAAATTTAGGTAGGTTCCAAAGCTTTTGGCTATTTTCAAAAAGTTGAATTCCAAAAGGTCTCGAATTTTTGTTCACATTGTAAGATTCATGGTCATTCTGTGTTTCTGATTGCTTTAAGTTACATCCTAATTTAAAAAAAAATTCCTGTGGAAAATACAGATTTGCATGCAACTAACCCAATAAATTTAGATGTGATCTCTCCTGCTGTCGCAAATGAATTGATTGAAACGGAGGTTACTAAGGTTCATGATGGTTCCTCTGGAAATCTGGCTTGTCCCTGTTGAATCTGTTTTGCTGGTTAAAAATAATTTAGTTTTAGAAAATCTTAGTAAGGAAAATAATGTGGTTTTTTATGAATGTGTTAAGGAATCGAATATCTATGTTTCTATAGATGCTATGCTTAATAATTCTAAAGATATGCTTGATCATGTTCCTAATCAGGCTGATGGCTCTGTGCCTAAGATTGATAGTTCTGAAAAAGATGGTTGCGAAGAAGGGTAGTTTATCCCTAACCTGGGTAAGGATGCTTTAAAAATTGGTTTTTCACAAGATGATAAAGAGGATTCTTTGTCCTCTAATGGTGTTGGTACTTCCTCTAATTATGAAGAGGAGGTTGATTTTATTAAGGTTAGTAAGAAAAAGGGTAATAATACCAAGCCTTCGATGCCCCGATCTACTAGAGCTAAAACTTCTTCAAAATTCTGTAATGGTTAATGCTCTTATTTGGAACATTAGAGGTATTGGGGGGAAGGACTCGGTTAACAGAGTCAAATTAAAATCTTTGTAGGATTCACAATATTCAGATTCTGGTTTTGCTTGAGCCGCTTATTTCTAGGGATAAACTTTCTATTACTGCTAGTCGTTTGGGTTTTCCTTCTAATTTTGCAAACTGTTCTAATAAAATTTAGATATTATGGAAAAATGATTCAATTTAACTATTATTGATGACTTTCATCAAGTTGTTAATGTTCACATTGCCTTTTATAATTTTATTTGCAATGCTTCTTTTGTCTATGCTTCTTGTACTAGAGATGGTCGCATGGTTTTATGGGATCAGTTAAAGTCTCTCTCTGACACCTCTAATTTACCGTGGTTTGTTGGTGGTGATTTCAACACTATTTGCAATACTAATGAGAGAAGAGGGGGTCGATCTCCTAACATCAATTACATGGAAGATTTTAATTCCATGATTACTGATTGCAATTTACATGATATTAGTTTTTTTGGTAGTGCTTTTACTTGGAGTAGAGCTAATTTATGGCAAAGACTTGATAAGATTTTATTTAATAATGAGTGGCTGGTGAATTTTCCTTTGACTAATGTTGAATATTTTAAGTAGAATTGTTTCTGATCACGCTCCTTTACTTTTAAGTATTAATGCTAATAGGCCTACTGTGCCCTATGCTTTTTTATTTCAGAATATGTGGCTGTCTCATAAGGATTTCAGTAATGTTATCAGTCATAATTGGTCGGCGCTTATTGCTCCAAACAATGATATTTATGGTATGCATAGGCTTTGGACTAAATTGAGCAGATTAAAACAAGTGTTGAGGTGGTGGAATAAAAATGTTTTTAAAAACATTTTTTCTAACATTAAAGATGTTGAAAAGGAGGTGATTGAATTAGAGAAGGTTTATATGGAGAATCCGGATGTTGAGAACAATTCTTCCCTGAATGAAGCTAAAACTAAGCTGGGTGCTTTGCATGACAAGAGGAAACCTATTGGAAATAAAAAGCTGCTTCTAAGTTGATTGTTGAGGGGGATAGAAATACGAAATTTTTTCATGCATTGGCTAATAAGAAAAAAGTGAAGAGTCATATTTTTAAAATGATAGGTGAGGGAGGGGATACTATTGAGAATGAGGAGGACATTTTTAGGTCCAGGGTTGACCATTTTAGAAATATTTTTAATAAGTCTTTTATTACTACTCCTATATCTATTCCTTTCACCGTTCCCCATTGTATCAATGAGAGTGATAATTAAATGTTGGTTAATATTCCTTCTGAGGAGGAAATTTGGAATACTATTAAGGATATGCATAGTGATTCCACTGCGGGTCCTGATGGCTTTACAACTAAATTTTTTGTTATGTCTTGGAATATTATCAAGCATGATGTTTTAGATGTTGTTAAAGATTTTTTTACTAGTAACCCTTACCCGAAATTCTTCTATGCTGCTAATATTGTTTTAATTCACAAAAAGGAGGTTGCTAACATGTGGAACGATTTTTGTCCTATTAGCCTTTGTTCTTTTTTTAATAAACTTATATCCAAAATTATAGCCTCTAGGCTTGTTAACATTTTGCCTAGAATTGTTTCTGTCAATAAAACTGGTTTCGTGAAAGGTAGGAGTATATTTGATAATGTTCTTCTAGCTCAAGAGATGACTCATGATATCAATTGCAAGGTGAAGCTAGGTTGGTAATATCATTTTTAAACTTGATATTACTAAAGCTTATGATAATTTGATTTGGAATTTTCTTTATAATATTTTATCTTTGTTTGGTTTCAGTCAAGATTTTCTTCATTTGGTTAAAAATAGTATTGAGAATTTTTTTTTCTGTTATTATTAATGGTAGAAAGCAAGGTTTTGTTAAGCCTTCGCAAGGTTTGAGGCAAGGTGACCCTTTTTCTCCTGCATTGTTCCTTATAGCTATGGATTATCTCTCTAGGGGTTTGGAGGAGTTATACAAAGGACATGAATCTCTCTACTATCGTACTATGGGAGGTATGCAGACTACCCATCTTAGTTTTGCTGACGATTTTATCATTTTCTCTAATGGTTCGATTAACAACATTAAAGTTTTAGTTCAGTTTTTAATTAATTTTGAGAAGATGAGTGGTTTGGAGATTAATAAAGATAAGAGTAATTTTTTGGTTTCGAAAGGTGTGAGTCAAGTTAAGATTAATACTGTTAAACGCATTTGTGTTTTTAATTGCATTCCATTACCTATCAAATATTTGGGTACTCCGATTTTCAAAGGGAGAAAAAAAAATCATATTTTTGAAGATATTATTATTGTTCTTCAAAAGAAAATTACTAATTGGAATTCTAACTTCCTATCTTTCGGTGGTAGGCCGGTATTGATTAAAAGCGTGTTAAACTCGATTCCTATTTACATTTTTCATACCCTTAACCCTATGGGTTCTATTTGTTTAAGAATGGAAAGGATGATTGACAAGTTCTTTTGGGGTGCCAAAAATAATTGTAGTTGCATCTATTGGACCTCTTAGAATAAAATTTGTGGGGCTTTTAATGAAGGTGGTTTAGGTTGCAAAAGTTTTATGGACACTGTTAGAGCTTTTTCTTACAAATTATGGTTTTCTTTTAGAGATAATATTAGTCTGTGGGCTGAATTCATGAATGCTAAATACTGTAAAGATAAGCATGCGACTGCTAGCTCTTATAAAAAATCCAATTCTCTGGTTTGGAAAAGGTTTTGTAGCATTAAATTGGAAGCTGAAAATTTTATTCAATGGGATTTGGGGAAGGGGGACATTTCTTTCTGACAAGATAATTGGTTAGGGTGTTGTTCTATTGATAACCTTCTGAATACTTTTACGATGCTTAATACTAAGGTGTATGAATTCTTTGATAATGGAACGTGCAATGTTAATAAACTTAGAGATTGCATTCCGTTGAACTTAATTAGCATTATAGTTGAGTTGCCTTTACAATTACAATGCAATGATAGTATTTTATTTAAATCCTCTCCTTCTGGAAGCTTTAGTCTTAAAAATGCTTGGGAGAACTTTCGTATCAAGTATAATAAATCAGTGATTTACTCTGCTATTTGGGACAATAACATTCCCATATCTTATTCCATTCTTGCTTGGAGATGCATGAAAGG